GGGCCCCAGCACCAAGCTGCTCCTGCAGTGGGAATTCACCTTATCCTGTCAGCTCAGCCCTCAGGGGTCCCAAAGCCAGCTCTTTACTGTCTCTTCTCTGTAGACTTTTTATATTAAAAACCCAGGTTATATCTGGTTTCAAAATGAAAAGAGGGTTACAATGTAAAACAGGAAGTGCGGTCTGTCGTCCTAGCATTCCTTGGCCAACAGCCTCACTGTACAATTGGGTAAATGTTCTTCCAAGTTATTTCTGTGTGATTTTTTTAAAATGTCCTTTTTTTTTAAATCCCTGTCAGATGGGAACAGGAACCACCAGGGACCTGCTTGGATGGAGACTGCCCTGTGGTCCCATGCAGCCACCAGCTGCCCCTTCTGGTCACTCGGGATTCATTTCTTCATCCACACATCCTCTCTATTCCTCTTTCAGAATGTACCAGAACCCCCTGCCTTCCCCTATCTCCTCTTCTTTGGCCACATCCCAGTGCCTTTCCTCCTCACTCCCACACAGCCAAAGGTGCCTGCTCACCAGTTAGGCCTGGCCCCATAGCCCCATCTCCCCCAGAGAAGAGGCAGAGTATCCTCCTCATTTTCTTCCCAATATGTCCCCTGTCCCCTGGAGCCCTAGCCTGTTCATGAGGGGCTTCTCTGACCTCTGACACCCACCCAAGCAAGTGCTTAATGTGCGCTTGAGTAGGAGTGGCCTGCACTGGGCCTGGAAGCGGAGGCACTCCTGCAGCCTTGGCTGTACACATGGAACCAGTTGGGGAGCAGCTGCTCCCAGGACGCTGCCCTGAGGGGGCCTCACTGGGGGCTCTCAGCACTGACAGCTGCCTGTGAGGTGCGGCCTGTCTTCCCTAATGACACGGGTGGCAGTGTGGATACTGCTAGGTGAGACACCTGCACCTGATGACCCTACTTCCATCTCCAGCTGAGCCAAGGAAGATAGGAACATGGAGAGACAGATGCAAAGTGAGGACCACCTATGCAGGCCGGTGGGGGTCCCCACCTTTCTCTGGGCCATTGCCAGTGGTAAAGAGACCTGGGCAGAGTGTGGGAGATAGGGGGTCTGTTAGTAGCTGATGGCAGGATGATGGGCAGTTGGTCAAGTTCTGCCTGGGATGCAGCCCCCTGGCCTGACTGCTGTCTCCTTGCCAGGTTGCCTAGGACCTCCATTTAGTGGAAAACCAGCCTGCTGTCCCTGGTGCCCTTAGGTTGCATCACTGCATGGCCTGTCCCAGGCCTGGGGACTGGTCAGTCTGGAAGGGCACAAGGTATCCTGTTTCTATTTGTATTGGCATCTGTAATGTGGTATGGCTTCCAAGTGTCCTTGGAGGTTAAAGTTACATCTGCTGGTGTTCTGGCCCCCAACCCAGCAAGGACGCCTTCCACTTTCCAGAGCACACACAGATGTGATTTAGATCTTAATCTGATTAGGGGAGCTGGCACTTCCCTCACCACTATGTAGGGGGACAATGGCCCAAATCACTGTCCACAGGGTTGAAACCTAGGGAGAGGACACATCACAGGAGATGTCAAGGTCCCCTACCTTAGGGTACAAGTGTATGATTTCTATGCCACGGGCCTGTACTGTGGTCACAATTCCTCAACACTTCATAGAGCTCAGAGCTGCACCCCCTGGTGTGGCAGGCAAGACTCCACTGTGGCTAGAAGCTCAGGCAGGAGCTGCCGTCTGTCTGGAGAAACATGTGACCAAGAGCTAAGAGGTACAGGTAGGGAGACTGAGGCGTGGAGGGCATGGATGACTTGCCAGGAGTCCCTGCTCTAGAGAGCCCCTAGTTAAGGAAGCCACAGGATACTCTTACCTCCCCAGGCTTCAGGGCCAGGCATGTGGCCCAGGGCTATCCTTATGCTATTA